CCTAAAATTTTAAGTCATTGATAATTAGTGTGGTTGTTTCATCATGGGATACATTTACATGCATAAAACCTAAGGCGGAATTAAAAGAAAAACATTTTTTCCTTTATTTTCATATAATTTCACCAATAATAGTAAAGACTCTTGTTCAAATAAAATTGTCATTCAGCATTTTAATGGCAAATAAAAACATGTTCATCATCCCATGAAGTAGGCCAGTTGGCCATCATAAGGACATTTGAAATGTGTTCAAGTTGAAAGTTATTCTTATCCATCTCTGGAATCATTCCTGACGTGTGTTCATTTTTATAGGGCGCCATTCCTCTTCTTCAGTGGCGGCATGCCCAGGGCAAGCTTTGGGGACAGACACTGCATTACTGTCATCCACAATAAAACACACGTTGCTTTGGACTTCACTTCCAGGATCATTGACTTCTTTGTCATCAAAGATGGACCACTTCGCACTGGTCGGTAAAAGTACAGAAACACCCAATTTCATAATTTTAACTCTTCTGAAGATTTCATACTGTGCATGATCATGATGGAGCCAGTTTTGCTCCTGAGCGTTTAATATCAAGGTCTTCAACGGTCTCAAGTATTGAGACGGGATGTTTTTTTGGAGTTTTTTTTTTGCATGCTAATTAATTGCATGTATTTCCCATGATCACTTGTCTTGACCAGGGGATCCCAGCGCATTAGTGGTCTTGGTTGAAGAGGAGTTGGTGGTGATTGACCTCAAGTCAGAAGGATGGCCAGTCATTCAGACACCTTACCTGGTTCCACTACACAGTTCAGCAATCACCTGCTCACACCATGTCTCTGCCATCCCTCTCAAACTGTGGGAGAGAGTTCTCGCCGCCGGAGAGCTCCAGAAGACAAATTACTCCAAAAAGGTACAATCAGTTTCACCCTTTGATGCTGTTCCTCTCCCGTCCTGCAGGTAATGCATACGGTGATCCCTCACTTATCGCGGTTAATGGGGACCAGAACGCCCCGCGAAGACGAAAATCCACGAATTAGGGCCCCCCCCTAATTTGATCAAATTTTCTCGATTGGAGGAGCAGCAAGCTGGCAGTTTCCTAATTTATAACATATTTAGAAGACGTGAGAAGCTTTTTCGGAAAGGAGCATGTTGCCGAACACGCTTGATGGTTTGTGGCAGCTGATGAACACCTATACTCAAGTGAATCAGGTTGAATGCGATTTCTGAGACACTTTGCATGTTGGATTCCAACGTGGTTGACAGATGACGAATCGTCTCAAATAATCGATCGCTCATTCGACCAATTGATGCCCATCCGGAGCTCCATTGGAAACCTCAAGGATAATTGAAATTGTTGCCTGCCCGTTCCCAAAAC